TACACGCAGACAAAAAAAAAACACATCTGATCACACAAACTTTAGGAATCTATTTTATTTTTGTATAATTAAAATAAAAAAATAAAATAAAAAAAGTTAGGAGCTAGCCTAGGACCCAATATGGAATATTGAAATTATAGGATATTTTAATTCGAGAGCATAGAAGTCAACAACATGAGGCGTCATGTTTCAAATCCTGGTCAAACGTCAAAGCGAAGGGGCAGGTTTGACACATCACCTTCCAACTTGATACATTGGTGACGTGGCACCAGCAAACAGAATTAGAGCTAGATTGTTCCTAATTAATTAATCACGTGTGGGTTATCCCCAGAGGTGAGAAATGGGAACGCACTCTCTGCTCTCTAATTTTTTGTCTGCGGCTTTTCCCACCACCTGTGCATTTCCCATGTGATTCATAAATTCCCAACGCTAACAAAATGGAAATTGGAAACGGCCTGTGAATTTTTCACGGCCTGTGAATTTTCCCAACGCTCTCTAATTATTTTATAATTTATTTTGTGGATTGGAAGCACATGAAAATGGGTCAGGTTATCTGAGACCACGGACGACTTGTTTGAGTGAAGGAATTAATCCAAGCTGGGAAGGAGCAAATAAAACTGGGTTTTAACTTTTAATATGAATTGATATTTTTTCCTGCAGGCTCTGACTGTTATCCATAGATGGGAGATATAAGGTCCAATATGAGTGCATTCATTTGCCCAACATAAGAGCAACTCCACCCATTTGCCCTTAACCATGGTAAGGGGGGAGCTAGGGCAGCCATTATTCACGTGAATAGTAGCTGCTCTTGTAAATAGTATTTTCCGTTTCCACTCGTTGCCATGGCAAAGGACAATTACTATTCATTTTTTTAATTTTTTCCACAACTTTTTTTACCTCAATAATTAATTTGGATAATATTTTCGAGTTCCTACGTGTCAATACTATTCATATCTCATAATCGGATAAAATTTTCAATTTCAAATTTCATATAAATTTTTTAAAAAATTGGTTGGTATTTATAGAAAAAAAATTAATTAATTTTTGGGTATTTTTTAAAAAAATTTCCAAATTTTTTCCAGTATTTTATTGCAAAAAAATTGGCTGCCTCTAGATTGGAGGAAAAAATCAGATCGGAGAGTCCAGACGACGCCACGTGACAACAGAAAAAAAAAAATCAAATCGGTGGGCTGACATCAGCACCAGCCTGAGTTTTGGACATCGGGTTGAACTGGCCTTCGGGCCAGCCCGAGTTGCGTGGGACCCACTCCAGCCCTTGCTTGGGCTCACCGCTGGAAACCAATTTTTGCCAAAAACTCCCCCAGCTCGAGGCAAGGGGGCCTCGGTGGAACTGCTGTCAGTGGTAGAAGAAAAAGCCAAGGTTGCTTTAGGGTTAGAGCAACTCCACCCATTTGCCCCTTGCCATGACAAGGGGAGAGTTAGGGCAGCTATTATTCAAGTAAATAGTGGTTGCCCTTGCAAATAGTATTGTGTGTTTTCACCCGTTGCCATGGCAAATGACAATTACTATTCATTTTTTTTTGTTTTTTTTACAAATTTGTTTACCTAAACAATTAATTTGGATAATATTTTCGGATAAGATTTTTGGGTTCGTACGTGTCAATATTTATTATAAAATTCATATCTCAATCGGATAAAATTTTGGTATTTTTGGGTTTGTACATGTCAATATGAGTGCATTCATTTGCCCAACATAAGTGGTAGAAGAAAAAACCAAGGTTGCTTTAGGGTTAGGGTTTGGGATACAACCAAATATAGAGTTGTCAATGGACCGAGTATTTGATTGAGATTCGATCTGCATTCGATGTAATTAATTAATATGAGATGGATCTTGTGGCATAATTCGATAATCCGATTCTGTTTTGAATCTATTAACTCGTTCAATTAACAGAACAAATATAGATTTGATATAATCCGATCCGATAATGATCTACACCGATTTGATGTAATATATTATTTTATTTTTACTTACTAAATATGTATGTACATTTAACAATATTGTGATTTTGTGTGTAAATAATAAGATTTTTTTTTTCAACTTCTTAGGATATAGGAATTCGAATTGGATTATTTGATTCGATATCCAATAATCCAACAAACCGGATATGGTTCTAGTTATGAACGATCCATTGGATTATCGGGTCGGATGGAGTTGAAATTTTTTTATTATTAGATTAGATCAGATATAAGGTGATTCGATCCATCTCCGACCTATTTACAAGTATTTACATCAATTTAGTTTATCCTTTAATTTGTCATTGATTTAGCTTTCTTATATTTCTTTCTTGGTGAGTACCCCTTAGAGTTTGGCTGCCGCTAAAATGATTCTACGAATCGTCTTAACTAATGATATATCTTATAACTTATTCTTAATTAAAAGCATTATGATCTTTAAACCAGTGACGCACATATGTAAATTGGTTCGATGATACAAATAAATTTTTCTATAGTGCCAGATGCATGACTAATGTCTTTCTTATCTTAGCATTTGACACTTGCTTTTACATCCTCAACAATATAATGTAGATGTGGTGTGAATGAAGAAAGTCCATAGAAGTTGTGCGCAAGTTGATCACATAGAATAGAAATGTGAAACATTGCTAAAGTGCTGCTGCAGGTTTTAGCTTATCAATCTTTGCTTCCAATTCCTTTATAACCATTTAAACGTTGGTGACGCAAAAAGGAAATCATTAAGGCCAAAATGAAAGTGAGATGAGATTAGATTTGATTTCGTTGGGATAAAGCCAAAACAAAGGTATCTGCTTTTCTGCCGAAAAATATATGATTGCAAAATTTTTAAGGATAAGACTACTATGATTTTGTCAGATATGATTGTGGTCTTTTTCCCCTCAGGTTCATTGTTGGGTATGGTTAATGCACTTTTCATATGAATATTTGCATTTTTCGGTCATATACACGGCTTTAAACATCGTCTTTGTAAAAAATCAATCACATCAAAAATTACCTTGTTCGACTGTTACTAGCCTCTTGGTCCGTGTTTTTATATTCTTCTTCTTTTATTTTTTTATTTTTATGAATGCTAGTGTTTAGAACTCTAGAGTTAGGTGAAATGTGCATTACGTGTGTTTATTTTAATTTTCAGGTTTAGTTGATTTAAGTAAAGAATATTTGTTGAGTTTTTAAATATTTAACCAACGAACTCATGTTTCTATTAAAAACTGAATAATTACACAACTGGTAAAGTGATTAAATAATTTTCAATTTAATTGAATTTTTTTTTTCATAAGTAATCTTTGAAAGATGGCCTTGAAAATAAATACTTATGATGAAAGTAGTTAATATATGAGATATTTAGTCATATACTCATTCTTAGCATTAATAATATAGATAAATCTTACGCCATTTAATTCTCTATAAACAAACAAAATAAACCCAAAAAATGACATTGAATTTAATTTTAATTATTAAATTACTTTGATGTCCTATTGAATGTTTTGAGTTTTTTTTATACAAATTTATAAATAAACCCAATCCTAGACATGTATTTATAAAAAAACCCAAGCACTATTTAAACATAGAAACACACCCAAAATCAACCCCAAAGTCAACTTTTTGGGTGTGTTTATAAATGGGTTTTGAGTGTGTGTAATGATGGGTTTTGGGTGTGTTTATAAAGTGTTTTGGGTGTTGGGTTTTTTTATAATTTCAACCTCCATTTTGGGTGTTTTAGTGAAACTCCCTTTTTTTTAATGACGTTTTGAGGTTGGGTTTGTTTTAATAAATGACAATTTTATAATTTATAAGAAGTTAAAAGTATATTTTTTATATTATAAATGAACTTTGAGTGTGTTTTTAAAGTTCATTTAATAGAAAACATCAGTTAAAAAAGAGACAACGGGGTATGTGGGATAAATCATAAAAGAGAACCTGGAAGACTTGCCTTTTGGTCTTTATGACAAGGAAAGAAGTGGATGCCACGTCAGGTCAAAGAGTCAAAGGAAAGAATAAAGAAACTTATAAATTCCTCGTTGTAGCGCGTATGCTTCATTAGTGTCACTGCTGGCGTGGGCTCTTTTCGACCTCCTTTGTTTGACACTTCATTAATTAATTATTTAATAATTTAAGTTTTAATTAAACTCGTCACGCTTTATGTCACGTGATCGTCATCGGTCAAACACGGTTGGATTATTCATGTCGTTGATTTTTACAGTTGCACATGTGCCAACAACTTGGATGTTAAGAAATAGCATACTGATCGACGGTTGAGATTAAGTAACTTATATATCAGCTGACTAAATTCGCTTTCACCGTCAAGTACTTTAGTCTAATAAATGTTTGAGATTTAGAATTACTGTTTAATTGGGTTCTATGTGAAGATTCGCTTTTCTTTTCTTTGTGTCATCGTCATATATCAATTGATGACTTCTTATAAAATTAATACGACATGCATTAAACACATTCTCATATATATATATATATATGATGAACTGTCTTTGGTCCTGTATGACTTTGAGTGGAGGTATACCGTATGAGTTTGATGTTGCTATTAGATCCCTCTATATTGATTGTAACTCTTTGTGAATACCTTGTAGTTATTGTATTTATATTGCCTTTGTGGCGTGATTCATAAATACAGTATCTCTTTGATTTGTCAAAAACAAAAAATTAGAGTTCATAAACTCATTTATGTTGACTTGACAAACACTCGGTTATAAAAGCTGAATTTTGAGTTAATAGAGAGTTTAAAACCACAAAAGTTCGTGAAAAAGTCAAGAAGTTTGACAAAGTATTTCGAAGTCAAACTCAGGTCCACTTATTAAGGCTCAAAGATTGGTTCCAAGTTCCAACCCATGGTCCAAGGTAGAAGAAATAATAATAATAATTTTAATTTAATTAGACATGGTTTAACTCTCATGATCCTAATTAAATCTTAAACCTTCCTTCTCAAGAAAATTCGCTTGGATTTACCTTCTCACACTAGAAGACGATGTGACGGAAGGCCAGCCAAACCCAAAAATCCAAAGCGAAGGAGAAAAACGAAGAGAAAGAGCAAGGAATGTTCTGTGTTGTTCAATGACTGGAGCTTGTGGTCGGCGCAACAGGTCACCCTATAACTTAAAATATAAACCCTCTCGGTCTCTGATCATATCCAAACGTGCAAAGTTGCATTTTTACTGTTACTTCCGTACAAAGTTGCCGTCAAAAACCCTCTCTCTCTTTCTTTTTCCTATATATACCTTCCAAGCCTAGCCTCCCTTTCTTCTTTCGAAAACTCAGCAAATTCAGAGCTGCCACAACTTGAAAAGACAGGGTCTTGGACCCAACCGGAGCTTACCCACAACCAGAACTTGAAGTCCAAGCCAAAGACCAAAGATACCCAGAAGAAAGAAAGAGAAGACAAAGGTATTTATTCATATAAATTAGTTGTTCATATATATATATGTTGGTGTGTGTTTGAATTGATTGGTTTTGCAGCATGATTTGTTTGGTAGCTGAGAAAGTTGAGGTGAAAGGAAAGTTGGGTGGAAACTGAATTCTTATGAGCTTTTGTGTTGTTTGTGTATTTGGGGTTTTGGGAAATGGAAAAATCGGAGCGGGTAGCTGGTATTGGGCTTGACTGAGTGAGGAAAATCTTGGGTTTTTTGGTGTTTTCATCTGTTTTCTATCTCCTTCTCAGAAAGCAAAAACAGAGCGTGACTTTGGACCGTTTTGTGATTCGAAGTATTGGTTTTGCAAAATCAGTTCAACTGGGTATGGTTTAAGGTTTTGGTTCCAAATGGAAAAAAAAAACTTCTAATTTACCCACTCGGAAGTTAATTCTTTGGTTTTGTTTTCATCTTTCTAATTCATTTGTGTGGATTACCATATAAATTGTATAGATTCACATAGTTTTGTTATTTCTGGAACTGTGTTCTCCATTTTAATGCAATACTGTTTTCTTGTTTGCTTTCTGTTGCTTTCTTTTGTACTGGGGGTCATACTGTTCTTGTATTTGGTCGATTTATGAGGTTGATTCATGGTCTGGCCCTAGGGTTCAATCTCCATCTATTGATACCTATCCTTTATCTATCCACTATAGTTGTCTCTTTCCAACTTTTCCAAAAAAAAAAAAAAAAAAAAAAAAACAAAGAAAGAATTCCACTGTAGGTATTTGTTAGTGAACTAACCAATCCATAGAAGGACTAGTGGTGCTTTTGGAAAACTAGAGGCCTTTCCCTGCTTCTTTGAGGGATTTTTGTCAAGGGGTAGGTGTTCATGTTGCCATGTGTTTTGAAAAAGTGTTAGGAATTAGGAAAGCCGGGAATTCTTAGTATAGATATGATCATATGACCTGCAGAAGCAATATTCCATGCCATAAAAGACATTCCAGGTATGATTTCTGGCGTAATAATAATCACTTAAATAGTTAAAAATGTAAAAAAAAGTCTCTGTTTTGTATGTTTATTTACTTGAGAAAACATTTAGACAAGAGAGTTTGTGATTTGGTGATAATTTCTGCTTCACAAGGTTTGGGTATATGAAAGTTTTCCCCTCAGAATCTCTTGTTGATGGGATTTTTTCTGTGTCAATATTACAGGTTGATTTTGTTATCTTGCAAGTTCAGAAGTTTGATTCCTATTAGAAGATTGCAAAGCTGCCAACAGTTGTTTCTGGGAAAAGCACTGAGGCTGATCCTATTATAGTTGATAATTGTACCATCAGATTTCTTGTCGCATGGAATAGCTGATGCCAATCTCATAGCATGGACTCGCACCAACATTTTGGATTTGGTGTGACTGGTGCAGGATTTTCATATACAGCTCCACATTCCACTGTTCCATCTTTACCTACAAGGTTACTGGGGTCACTGAAATTTGATATAGGGAATTCACCAAATTCACCCTTTTCTACTCACTTTGATTCTGATACCCTTACTACACTGAGTGACGGTCAGGAGCAGCACAGCTCCACAGAGAATCTCTCAGGAGCTAGCCCTTCCTGTAACTCTTCATTTGAAACAAACAGTTACATTCATCAATTAAGCTTCAGTCCTTCTGTGGACTGTCGTCGAGACAGTCTGCAGCTCTATTCTGGCAGGTCTTCTTTATTACAGGATGCAAATTCTAGCCAGAATATAAAGCACGCTTTGCAGGAACTGGAGAGTACTTTAATGGGGCCTGACAATGAAGAAGAAGAAGTCACCACACTGAACACTTCTTTTGGAGAAAGTAGCAAGCAGCAGACACAGAGGTCCACTTCATGGATCCAGGAGATCCAGGAGCACCAGGGTTCACCTGTAGTTCAACGTCAGACATCTTTTGTCTCTAGGCAAAGGCAGTTGCGTGAATTTCAGATTGAGAAACGTTACAAAGTAATAGATGAAGGGTCTCTAAAGGGTTTACCAGCAGGTAATCTGAAGGAATTGCTGATTGCATGTGCTGGAGCTCTCTCTGAGAACAACATTGATAGTTTTGATAAGTTGATTGAAAAGGCTAGAGGGGCTGTGTCTGTCAGTGGAGAACCAATCCAGCGACTTGGAGCTTACTTGGTAGAAGGGCTGGTAGCAAGGAAGGAGGCGTCGGGTGCCAATATTTACCGTGCCCGGAGGTGTAGAGAGCCTGAAAGCGATGACTTGCTCTCATACATGCAGATTCTGTATGAGATCTGCCCCTATTTAAAGTTTGGTTACATGGCAGCCAATGGGGCCATTGCTGAAGCCTGCAGAAATGAGGACCGCATCCACATTATAGACTTCCAGATTGCTCAGGGAACCCAGTGGGTGACTCTCCTTCAAGCACTTGCAGCAAGACCCGGTGGGGCACCCCATGTACGGATTACAGGTATTGATGATCCTCTTTCTCAATATGCCCGTGGTGATGGATTGGAGGCAGTTGGGAGACGGCTGAAAGCTATCTCTGAGAAATTTAACATCCCAGTTGAATTTCATGGAGTGCCAGTTTTTGCACCTGATGTCACACAGGACATGCTTGATGTCAGGCATGGAGAGGCTCTTGCTGTGAACTTTCCCCTGCAGCTTCATCACACACCAGATGAGAGTGTTGACGAGAACAATCCGAGGGATGGGCTGCTGAGAATGGTAAAGTCACTATCTCCAAAAGTGACCACTTTGGTGGAGCAAGAGTCAAACACAAACACAACCCCTTTCTTCAATAGGTTTGTGGAAGCTCTAGAATACTACTTGGCAATGTTTGAGTCTATTGACGTGACCCTGCCGAGGAACAACAAGGAGAGGATCAACGTGGAGCAGCATTGTCTGGCAAGAGATATGGTGAACGTCATTGCTTGCGAGGGAAAGGAAAGGGTGGAACGCCATGAGCTCTTTGGCAAGTGGAAGTCCAGGTTGACAATGGCAGGGTTTCAGCAATACCCATTGAGCTCATATGTCAACTCTGTCATAAGGAGTCTGCTGAGGTGTTATTCGGAGCATTACACGCTGGTGGACAGGGACGGGGCTATGCTGTTGGGATGGAAGGACAGGAACTTGATATCAGCTTCTGCCTGGCATTGAGTATATAAAATAAAGATACGGAGGTAGCAGTAGAAATAACCACTTCGGTTCTTTTTTTCCCTTTCCTTGATAGATTCATGGTGGGAACACACATCCCTTTGCTTTAGTTCAGTGATGAGCGCTATGGTATCAGCCATTTTATATTTTCAATGACGTTGTTTTGGTTATTGTTAATACTTAGAAAGGCTGACATTTATAAGCCGATAGAGAAAAGGATCACATACCACCAAGCTTGTTACGGCTGTTCTTTATACATATTCTGTTTATCTGTTCTTTTGTTTCTTTGTCAGAGTTGTATATATGTGTACTTGTGATCCAGGGCTTTTTGTTTCTGTTCTTCTTGTCACAACGAATTTTTATTTTATTTTTTGTTTCTTTGTCAGAGTTGTATATGTGTGTACTTGTGATCCATTTTTAACTTCCATAACTCATGATAATTGATGAAAACTCATTCCACAATCAGAGCCTCGGCCCATTTCTTGGCCAGCCCTCATATTCTGGTAAGCCCGTGAGGTCCATGATCTCTGTCCCTGTTGGAAAATTGTGGTAGTTATCTATTGCAGCCCTGTTGAAAGAAAATAAGGTGTAATTATTATATTTGTAGAAAATTCACAAATAATCAATGTAATTCAATAACAAAACATTGCTGGGGATGTATCCTTCGTGGAACCATTTGGCCTCATCAAAGTAAGCTTTAGCTGCATTTTTCCACTGCATATATGGGACATAAATTATACGTAAATTAATTAAAAAAAGTGAAAAGTAAATTAAGCTGTGTGTTTAATTAGTTAATTATTACATACAGCTTCTTTTGCATAATAAGCTCTGTATGCTTTTCCTTCCTTCACCATCTCCTCAGTTTCATTGAGATCATTCAAAAGCGTACGGTAGAATATTTGCATGTACTCTGGCAGTTCATCCATGTAATTGACATTCCATCTGCAAAATTGCACACACCATATTCATCTGAAGCATATCTACAAAGCAAAATAAAAATTTGGTTTGGTTTTGTTTTGTTTTGTTTTTATTTAGGGCATCTTAGATCTATGTTCAAAAAGATTAGCTGCCATTTGGTTTAGTCCACAAGCTTTTGGTTTTAGATGTAGGTCTTTTTTTGTTGTATCGATTTTACCCTTTGAGGTAAATAAGGAAAACACATTGAAAATCTAAATTTAATGAATTATTTCATTGTAATTGAATTCTTTCCTTGATAATATTCCTAATATATGGATAAAATACAATTTAATCAATAAAAAGTAAATATATTATATCAATCCATCAGACAAGCACCCACATTAAATTATGTACATGACATACATGTAAATAATGTTATTATTAGCAACAGAAAAAACTTAGAGTTAGGAACATAAATTAGAAGACTACCTATAAGTCAGATACAAAAAATAGACATAAAATTGTATGTTACCTATAAAAAAAAGGTACATAAAGAGCTTCACTAATATACCCAAAATGGGACCTGAATTTATAAAAAAACCTCACATAGAATACACTTTATAAACACACCCAAAATTCATTTATTATATAACAAATTAGTGTTCAAGTTCCTATAAATTACAGGTCTGCCACTATCAAGCCCAACACCAAACAAACTCAAAAGACACCCAAAACAAACCTAGCCCAAACTTATAAACAAGCCCAAACCGTAACTTTCGTCCAAAAAAAAAAGAGTAAACCGTAACTTAAAAAAAAGTAAACCGTAACTTCCAGCATGCGCACCTTCATTAAACCTTCTCTGCAAAACGTCTCTTCACAACACTCATCGTCTTCATCAATTCGTCTTCATCGTCGTCCAAACCGAGACTCCATAACCACCACCAAGATTGATCTCGTTTCAAAAACAAACACCAGACATTGATCAAGACAAAATTTCAGTGAACCATTTCAACAAGAAAACGCTTCAAAGGTAAGACATTTACAAACCAAACCTTTACTGTAATATTGATTATTTGCTATAAAGATCCAGTCTAGGGTAATAACAGTATTTTAGATTCGAATGAAAGACAAAATCTTGAAACTATATTGGATTTCACTATAGGACTGACTGCATAGGACCATTACTCTAGTCACTAATTTAGCCGCTAGTTTGCTTTCATGTTGATTAATGGCTATAAAGTTCCAGTATATGGTAATAACACTGATTGTTCCCTATGAAATACTATTTCTAAGGCATGTCTGCCACTGTAAAGTTCCAGTATAGGGTAATAACACTGCTAATTCCTTATAAAATCTTATTTTTAGTGCATGTCTACCACTGTCAAGTTCCAGTATGGGCTATTAACATGGGGTATTAACACCGATACTTTACTGTCGTGTTCCTATTTCTAATGCAGGTATAACAATTAAAAGATGAAGAAAGAAAGAGCCAGAAGAAACTCCAAAACAAAAGGCCAACAGTCATCATCCAAAACAACAACAAACAAGAAGCCAAGCAGATGGGAGGACCCAAATTATGTGCAGATCAAGAGCAACATGCTCTCTTTTGCAACAACAATTGACAACATCAGACAGAGACTTGAACGTCGGCACGATGTCTTAACACTGCTATCAAAGACACCTTTTTGGGCATTAATAGAAGCATATATCCAGAGAAGGTTAACAAAGGTAGAGTGCATGAAGTCTAACTACGACATTGTGAGACTCATACAAGTTTATGACACAAAGACAAAGAAGTTCAAGTTTAATGATGTTGACAGCGAGATGAAAAGCAATGATGTGGCTGAAATTTTTGGCTTGCCAAACAGTGGCAAGAAGTTACCAAGCACAACAACCTCAACAAGGCCAAAATTGCAGTTTGTAGAGAAATACTTCACGCGGTATAAGAAGATAACAAAGACTTCAATTGATAAGTGCTTGAATTTAGCACTTGAAGATGAAACAGAAGAGGGTGCTATGGATGTAACAAGATTGATAATCCTACAACTCTTCATGACCAATCTATTCTGCAACTCTGGTTGTACACTTGCTTGGACATATACAACCACAATAGACACCTTAGAAGAGATGGGGAAATATAATTGGGCTCGAGGAGTTTTGGACTACATGTATTTTGGATTAGAACAAGCAAAGAAGAACAAGAAGGACAAAAAAAAGCAGCCAAGCGTCAGTGGTTGCCTAATCCTAATACTGGTAAGAACACAAATCTCCAAACTGCAAATTCGTAGCATTATTCTAAAGATATGAATTGACATGTGATATTTCAAAAAAATATTGTGCAGTATTGGCTGTGTCAAAGATCTAACCTGCTCACTCCAATTCCTGGAAGAGAACAAATGACACCAGCTGCTGTCAAATGGAGTCTTCAAGAACTCAGCGCGAAGCTTCATCATCTAAAGAACAACCAGATAAAGGTACTCTTTCCTTTCAAATAATCTGCAGCTGATATGACAACATTGTTAATACCATGTCATGTACATACTTGTTAATACCATGTCATAGAAGTAAACTATGAATACCATGTCACAGAGGTAAACTATGAATACCATTTCATAGAAGTACACTATTAAAACCATGTCATAGAATTACACTCTTAATACCATGTCATAGAAGTGCACTCTTAATACTAACTCTACTCAACAAACAGATAAAAAGCACTAAAGCTCAAGAGCCAGATGATGATTCTGAAGAAGAGAATGAAGAGAATGATGATGATTCTGAAGAAGAGAATGAAGATGAGGATGCTGCTGCTGAAGAAGTGAATGAAGAGCATGATGATGATGCTGCTAAAGAAGTGAGTGAAGACAAGGATGATGCTGCTGAAGAGGTGAATGAAGAGCATGGTGATGCTGCTGAAGAAGAAAATGAAGAGGAGGAGGATGCTGAAGTGAATGGAGACCATGATGATGCTGCTGAACATCAAGTCCAGCAACACCACCAGGTACAAGAAGACCTCCAAAATGAAATCCCAGAATACCGGAATTCAACGTTGTTTGAGGAAATTGTTAGATCAGTACCAGAATACAAGGAGGATGAAATACAGCTTACAAAAGAGTATATGATGGCGATCAATAATGCTGCTGAATATTGGACGAAGAAAGGAGAGCATCAAAAGATCCGTGATGCAATAGCATCTTGCATTAAAAAGAATAAATTGATTCAGATGCTGTACAATGAAAAAGAAGAATTATTGAAGCATCAACAGCAACTGCAGAAGATGGTTAAGGAAGTAGCAGATCACAAGAAAGTCATACAATTAGATGTTCATCAGGAAAAATCCTACATGACAAAGCTGCAGCTAGAAAATGATCAACTTCTTGCAGAGAAGATTTCCTACTTGGACATTATTAATGAAAAGGAAGCTGTTATTGTCTCGTTGAGAGATCAAAAATTAGCGCAAGAACTGCAGAGTGAAGAGGATAAAGAAGAAAAGAAAGAAGGTGAAGCAGAAAAGATAAAATCAAGAAAACCAGATTCCTCATTCCCTAAAGCAGAGACGAGAGCACAAAAGAGAAAGGCACAAAAAAAACCAGCCAAATCAAAGAAGAAGGCCAAAGGTTCATTCCTGCAATGGAATACATATCAGGTCTACAACATGCTGGATGAACTCTCACAAGAAAAGCTGAGAAATTACTGGAAAAATTCAGTTGATGGGTAAGGCAATGTGTTTCATTCATTTTCAATGCAAGATGCTATTATTGAACATGCATTAGAAAATAGGATTTCATTGTGTTATTACCCTATACTAGAACTTTACAGGGGGTAGACATGCATTAGTTATAGGATTTCAGAGGAATCTAGCAGTGTTATTACCCTATATTGGAACTTTGCAGTGATAGACATGCATTAGATATAGGATTTCATAGGATACAAGCAGTGTTATTACCCTATACTGAAACTTTACAATGGTAGACATGCGTTAGAAAAAGGTTTTTTAGGAAACAAGCAGTATTATTACTCTATACTAGAACTTTATTGAACAGTTCTTTCAATTTTATTGCCATTTTTTCTAACTACAAATACTGTTACAACACTGTTTTTTGGTAAGGGACAAGCATTTTGTTCAAAGATGACATACAAAGCTTATTAAGAGATGCTGAAATTTATGGACAAATCATAGATGCGTATGCCGAGATACTTCATCATGATGAAAAGAAGGACCCTAAAAGACAACAGAATGCATACATCACGTGCTACGCATACGTAAGATCATAGCTATCCCATTACTTCTAGTAAAAATCACAAATTATTCATCTTCCTATACTTTTCACATTCTCTCTAATGCCGAAACTATTAATTTTGCAGAGGTATCTCACAGATAAAATGCACCCAAGAACATTCGATGAATATTTTGTCAAACTCCTTGAATGCATAGGGAAAACTTCAAAGGTGTTCATACCAATAACGGATGGCGGACACCACACCCTGCTTGTCTTCGACACCAATTCATTGCAATGGACGCACTACAACTCATTGAGGGGGGAAACTGAGCAAACCGTTGAATACTACAACAAAAAAGCAATAATTTTGGTAAGAAGACTCCTACTATGAACTGTTAATGCAAGGCATGAACAAAACAGTTAATCAGTGAAGCTAACAACATACTTGCCTACAATGCAGGCAGAC